TATATCTCTGTTTTGGTACCAGTACCATGCTGTTTTGATTACTGTAGAGTTGTAGTATAGTTTGAAGTCCGGTAGTGTGATGCCTCCCTCTTTTTGCTTTTTGCTTAGAATTGGCTTGGCTATGCAGGCTCTCTTTTGGTTCCATATGAAGTTTAAGGTGTTTTTTTCCAGTTCTGTTAAGAAGGTCTCAGTTTTTCTTTATTCAGTATGATACAAGCTTTGGGTTTGAAATATATGGCTGTTATCATTTTGATCTCCTTCTTCCATATTCAGTTTGTTCAGAGTTTCTAACATGAAGAAATGTTGAATTTTTTTGATAATCATATGGCTTTTGTTCTTCATTCTGTTAATATAATGTATCACATGTATTGATTTGCATAGGTTGAACAATTATTGCATCTCTTTGATGAATTTTACTTTATCATGATAAAAATATCTTTCAAAATGTTGTCAAATTCAATTTACTAGTTTTTTTTTAAAGACTTTTATTATCTAGTTCATTAGAAATATTGGCCTGTAGTATTCTTTGGTTGTGTGTTTATCTGGTTTTGGTATCAAGGTAATACTGGCCTCAGAATGAGTTTGAAAGTATTCCCTCCTCCTCAACTTTTTTGGGAAAATTTGAGTAAGATTAGTATTAATTATTCTTTCAATGTTTCATTAAATTAAGCAGAAAAGCAAGTGGGTCTTGGGCTTTTTTTTTTTTTTTTTTAAATGAGAGACTTTTCATTACTGCTTCTACCTTCTTACTTGTTATTGGTCTATTCAGGTTTTAGATTTCTTCATAATTTAACCTTTTTAAATTATATGTGTCTCAGAACTTATCCATTACCTCTAGATTTTCCAATATATTGACATATAGTTGCTCATAAATCTCTAATTATACTTTGAATTTCTGTGGTAGCAGTTGTCATGTCTCCTTTTGGATCTCTAATTTTTATTTTTGGGTCTTTTAATTTTTTTATAGTCCGGCTAAATGTCAGTTTTGTTTATCATTTCAAAAGGCCAACTTTCAGTATTATTGATATTTTATTTTACAAGTTTCTATTTTATTTCTGCTCTAACTTTTTTTTCTTTTACTATTTTTCGGTTTGGTTTGATCTTGCTTTTTTAATTCTTCAAGGTGCATCACTCAGTAATTTATTTAAAGTTTTTGTACTTTTTTGATGTAGGAGGCATTTATTGCTATAAGTTTCTCTCTAAGTGTTGCTTTAACTGTATTCCATACCAGGTTTTTGTATGATTTATTTTCATTTTTATTCGTTTAAAAATATTCTATATTTTATTATTTTTTTCTTCATTGACCCAGTGGTTCTTCAGGAACATGTGGTTTACTATCCATGTATTTATATGGTTTTCAAAGTTCCTCTTGCTATTGATTTCTAGTTTTCTTCCATTGTGGTCAGAAAAGATGCTGAATATGCCTTCAGTTTTTAAAAAATTTTGCAGACTTGTTTTTTTTTTTTTTTGAGATGGAGTTTCGCTCTTGTTGCCCAGGCTGGAGTGCAATAGCACGATCTCAGCTCACCGCAACCTCCGCCTCCTGGGTTCAGGCAATTCTCCTGCCTCAGCCTCCTGAGTAGCTGGGATTACAGGCATGCGCCACCATGCCCAGCTGATTTTTTGTATTTTTAGTAGAGACGGGGTTTCACCATGTTGACCAGGAATGGTCTCGATCTCTTGACCTCGTGATCCACCCGCCTCGGCCTCCCAAAGTGCTGGGATTACAGGCGTGAGCCACCGCGCCCGGCCGCAGACTTGTTGTAAATCCTAACAAGTGATCAATTCTGGATAATGCTCCATTTGTTGATTAGAAGAACTGTATTTTTCAGCTGTTGGATGAAACATCCTGTAAATGTCTATTAGGTCCATTTGTCCTGTAGTGCCGATTAAGATCAATGATTTGATCCTCTATTCATTGATCTTCTCAGCCTATATCCTAAGAATATATTGTTTCAACAACACATAATGAATCATTGGCTAATACACTAGGCTCCCCTATTTGTGGTTTGGGTTTCTGATGTTTCAGTTACATATGGTCAACTGAGATCAAATGTGCTGAATGGGAAATTTCAAAAATAAATAATTCATAAACTTTAAATGGCGCACCATTCTAAGTAGGGTGATAAAATGTCAGCACATGAAGCATCACTTTGTCCAGCATATTCATGCTGTAGATACTCCCCACCTATTAGTCACTTAGTAGCCATCTTGGTAATCAAATTGACTCTCACAGTATATCATGATTCCTGTGTTCAAGTAATCCATATTTTACTTAATAAAAGCCCAAGGCACAAAGGTAATAATGCTTGCAGTTTAAGTATGCCAAAAGGAAGCCATGTAGTGCTTCCTTAAAATGAAAAGATAAAAATTCTCAGATTAATTAGAAAAAAAAATAGTATGTTGACATTGCTAAGATCTTCTGTCTGTGAAATTGTGAAGAAAGAAGAAGAAATTCATGATAGTTTTACTATTGCACATCAAACTAAAAGTTATAAGTGCTCAGTTAAGATAAAAATGGCATTAAATTTCTGAGTGGAAGACCCGAATAGAAACATATTCCAATTGATGGCAATTGGAATTAGAACTATCTGCATCTTCAGGTGTCTACATATACCCCACAAACAAGGGGTGTTTTACTCCATTCAAGCATAAACACACTTGTATAAATTACATAGACTTCTACAACTCTATTTTAGTATGACCTTTGTCAGAAGGAATGCCTTTGAAATCACTTAATTGGAAATGGAATTCTTGAGTGAAAAGACAGTCAGTAAAACTACACAATAAAAGACCTAGCAATAATGTAAATTTAAGCATAATATAACTGGTAATTTGGTTGTATCTTCTGAAGACTCTGATCACTTCAGTAAACTTGTAATAATGGAACCCTATTTACATAATTAAAATTTTTGATGCCACTTAAAAAGTTATTGGAGTTTAACTCAATTAGTGAGACAATATATTAAAATCTGTAAAGAATAACAAAATTATTAAGATGTCATATCTTCTTTTTACAAGTACAATTATCTCTAGAGAAATAAAGATTACAATTCACTTACCTCTTAAAGTAATAGTCATTCCACACAGTATGATTGTCAGAAACACGATTAAGAAAAATAAGCACCAATTTAAGGTAGCTTTACTGCAATGCTCTTTTGAATGTAGATAATCTGGGAAAAGATTATTGAAAAACATTTTTAAAGTTAAATACAGACACAATACTGCCAGAAACATTAACTATCAAAATGTTATTTTTATTTAATTCCTTCCCTTTTCCCTAGAGGATGCAACTGACCTGTGATCTTATGAACTTTCTATTTTGTCTCCAGAGTTTAATCATTTTCCAAAGTTAAAACAATTGATTTTAACTTTCCAGCTACCATATTCAAGTTACCCTTTTAATTGGAGGGTATCATATCAACTAAACCACAGGGATGAAATAAACAAAATCCAAATTGTTAGAAATTCAACATAGCAAATTATCCTGATTCCTGCCTAAAAATGTAAAAAAACATTTCTTAAAGATATTAAGAGGTGATCTATTGATTAAAATAGACTTAAAAGGCATTGTTTTGGAGAAAAAAGGCAAAACTGAAGTGATAAAGTGATTATTGTAGAGGTCAAATGTGTTATTCTTGGGAGATAGGAGGATGCACACTTAAGAATACATGGAGGGCTTCTGAGCCACATAACAAGAATCTTTCTCAGACAATGTTAGTAGTTGTATTAGTCCATTCTCACTGCTGTGAAGAACTGCCCAAAACTGGATAATTTAAAAAGGAAATATATTTAATTGACTCACAGTTCTGCATGCCTGGGGAGGCCTCAGGAAACTTACAATCATGGTGGAGGGGGAAGCAAACATGTCCTTCTTCACATGGCAGCAGGAGAGGGAAGTGCCTGACAAAGGGGTAAAAGCCCCTTATAAAACCATCAGATCTCATGAAAACTCACTATCACGAGAACAGCATGGGGGTAACCATCTCCATGATTCAGTTATCTCCCATTGGGTCCCACCCATGACAAGTAGGGATTATGGAAACTATAATTCAAGATGAGATTTGGGTGGAGAGACAGCCAGGCCATATCAGTAGTCAACAAATGTGTTTATATTATAATAATTAATCAAGCTATATATTTTTATTGTATAATTTCCTGTTTTTGTGTTATATCTCAAAATGTCTTAGGTATATAAAACCTTTTATAAAGTTAATTGTTGGAAACCCATTCTGACACAATCTCTTGCATACAGTTCACACCTCTAGTTCATTTATCTAGGTTTGTCCTTAGTTAAATAGGCATATTTTCCTCTAACATTCCCCTCAACACTAGAGACATTAGCAAGCTTTACACTGATGTTTCCCAAGATATTTTTCTTAATCAATAGATTTTAGTTTTTATCAGTTTCAGTTGACAGAGATACTGAATGAAAAATTCAGAGTTTGCATATATTCCTGTGCCCTCTTTATCAAAGATTTAAGAAATCATAAAAGAATCCAGAGGAAAATAAATTCTACGTGTAAAGAAACAATGACATTTACATTCTCCCCAAAAACCATGAAAGCAAGAAGAGAGTGGAAAAAAATATTTAAAATGTTAAGAGCAGAAAACCTTATCAACTTAGAATTCTTTAGCTGAAAAAATTATTCAAAGTGAATGAGAAACAAACACATTTTTAGATAAACATTGAGACAACTTGTTACCAGTAGACCTGTCTTATACCAAAAAACAAGAAAGTTAAATGCATTTTTTAAAAAAGAAAGAAAATTATACAGATTAGAAACTTGAATTCTATTATAAAGAATGTAAAAAATAAGTGAAGGTAAAATAAAACTATTTTTCTTATTCTTAATTGATCTAACAGATGACAATTTGTTCAAAATAATAGTAGTATTATATTTAATTATGTTTGCTTATATATCTTTTATATATATTTATATGCTTATGTATGTAAATGGAATGAATAACAGAAATTATACATGGGATAAAGGCAGAGAATTAGGATTTTTTTTTTATTATAAGGTACTCACAGTGCCTGTGAAATGGTATGGTATTATTTGAAAGCAAACTTACATTAGTTGTGAGTGTATATTGCAAACACTAAGGTAACTATTAAAAACAAATTTTTAAAATATAATCGGTATACTAAGAATGGGAAAAAAATGAAACTTTATAAATGCTAAGTTAAAAACTACAAATGCAGAAAAAGAATGAAAGACAAGGCTGGGTGTGGTGGCTTACACTTATAACCCTTTGGGACACTGAGGCAGAAGGATCATTTGAGGCCAGAAGTTCAAGACCAGCCTGGGCAACATAGCAGGACTCTGTCTCTGCAAAAATTCAATAAAAATCAGCCAGGCTTAGTGGAACATGCCTGCAATACCAGCTACTCAGGACTCAGATGGGAGAATCACTTGGACCTAGGAGTTCAAGGGTACAGGGAACTATAATTATACCACTGCTCCAGCTTAATGAATAGAGCGAGACCCTGTCTCAAAAGAAAAGAATGGAAAAAAAAAAAAAGAACAAAGGCAACAAATAGAAAACAGAAGGAAATACAGTAGATATTTAATCCACCTATGTTAAAAATCATTTTAATGTCAGTGAATATTTATAGAATTCTTCACTCCAGGTCCACAGAACATACATTTTTCTCAGTATCATATTACACCTATTTTGAAAGTGACCACATAAATGGAAGTAAATCGCTCTTCAGCATTTGCATAGCATTTCACAGATTTAAATGAAATATTGGTTGGCTGTTTGTTTGTTATTTTCTTCCCTTATTCCTTCCTGTCTCTGCTGTTAAGTACAATTATCGGCATAAAAGAGGTTTTTAATACCTATTTTTAGATTGCATTCCAGCCTGGGCAATAGAGCAAGATTCCTGTTCTCTCTCCCCCTTTCTCTTTCTCTTTGTTTCTTTCTTTAACAAAAAAGAGAAAAGAAAAAAAATAAAACATCAATAGAGAAAGGTTATCACAACCAAAAACTAGGTTTTGAAAGATTAAAAAAAAAAAATGGATAAGGCTTTGGCCAGACTAATTAAGGAGAAAAGGGGAAGGACAAAAATTATTCATACCAGAAATAAATAAGGGGCAATTACTACAGATCCCATGGATGTTAAAATTGACCGTTCTATGTCCACACAGAGGATCAATCACTTGAGAGACATAATTTGCCTAAACTCATACATGGAGAAATAGATGATCTAAATATGTTTATATTTATTACAGAAGTTGAATCAGTGTTTAATAATCTTCCAAAACAGAAATTACCATGTCAAGATAAGCTCATGGTGAATTCAACCAAACATTTAAGGGAAAAAATCATACTAATTCTCTATAGTTTGTTTTGGAAGTTAGAACAGAGAGAATACTTCTTAACTCATTCTATGAGGCCAGGTTTATTCTAATAGGAAAATCAGATTAAGACATTACAATAAAAGAAAACTATGGCGGAATATATCCCATGAACATAGATGCAAAACTTCAATGAAAAATTAGCAAACCTAATCCAATGATGTATAAAAAGAATTATATAGTGTGATCAAGTGAAATTTATTTCAGCTATTCAAGACAGGTTTGACACTTAAAAATCAATTAATGTTATCCATAACATTAACAAGCTAAAAAAATCACTTGATCATATCAATATATACAAAAAATTTAACAAAATTTAACACCCATTTGTGATAAAAACTCTCAGTAAATAAAATTCAACACAGATTTGTGACAAAACTCTCAGTAAATTAGAAATAGGGAAAAACTTCTTCACTTTAATAAAGAGTATCTACGAAAACCTACAGCTAACATCCTCAAATATGGTGAGAAACTTGACACTTTTCCACTAAGATCAAGAGCAAAGCAAAGATCTCCCTCTCATCAGTACTTTACAACATTGTTCTAGAAGTACTAGATAATGCAATAAGACAAGAAAAGAAAATAAAAGTATACAGATGAGAAAATAAGAAATAAAACTGTATTTCTTTGCAGATGACATAATCATCTATGTAGAAAATCAAAAAGAATTAAAAATTCTGGGAACTGATATGCAAGGTTACTGATATGCAAGGTTGCAGAATGCATGACTAACATACAAAAGTCAGTAACTTTTCCATATGCCAGAAATAAGCAAATGGACTTTTAATTGAGAATACAGCACCATATACATTATCATTCAAAACATAAAATGCAAAGCTATAAATCTAATAAAATATGTTCCAAATCTATATGTGGAAAACTACAAAATGAAGAGTGAAATCAAAGAAGAACTAAACAGAGAAGTATTTTATGTTCATGGGAAGAGTTAATATTGCCAAGATATCAATCTTCCCAACTTTATCTACAGATTAAATGCAATGATAATAATAATCTCGGCAAGTTATTTTGTAAATATCAACAAACTGATTCTAAAGTTTGCATAGATAGGCAAAAGACCCAGAAAAGCAAACACATCACTGAAGAAGATGAGAAAAGTTAAGAAACTGACACTACCTGACTCTATGATTTACTCTAAAACTACAATAATCAAGACAATGTGGTATTGGTTAAAGAATAGACAAATAAATTAATGAACAAGGATAGAAAGCAGAGTAGTAGACTAAAGAGAAATAGACCCAGGTAAATATAGTCAACAAATCTTTGGTAAAGGAACAAAAGCAATACAATTAAGAAAAGATAATGTTTTCAACAAATGATGCTGAACAACTAGACACCCACATACAAATAAATGCCTCCTGACTGGGTGGGAGACTTCCCTACAAGGGTCACCAGACACCTCATACAAGAGAGTTCCAGTTGGCATCAGGCCAGTGCCCCTGTGGGACAAAACTTCGGGAGGAAGAAGCAGACAGCAATCTGTGCTGTTCTGCAGCCTCCATTTGTGATACCCAGGTGAACAGGATCTAAAGTGGACCCCAGCAAACTGCAACAGACCTGCAGCAGAGGAGCTCACTTAGAAAATAAACAAAGAAAAGGTAACAACAACAACATCAACAAAAAGACCCCACAAAAACCCCATTCAAAGGTCATCAACCTCAAAGATCAAATGTGGATAAATCCACAAAGATGAAGAAAACCCAAGGCAAAAACGCTGAAAATTCCAAAAGCCAGAATGCCTCTTCTCCTCTAAATGATCACCACATTTCTCCAGCCAGGGCATAGAATGATGCTAAAGCTGAGATGAATGAACTGACAGAAGAAGGCTTCAGAAAGTAGGTAATAACAAATTTCACTGAACTAGAGTGTTATATTCTAACCCAATGCAAAGAAGTTAAGAAGCATAATAAAAGATTATAGGAGCTATTAACCAGAATAACTAGTTTAGAGAGGAATAAAAATGGCCTAAGGGAGCTGAAAAACACAGCATGAGAACATTATGATGCAAACACAAGTATCAATAGCCAGATTGACAAAGCAAAAGAGAAAATATCAGAGCTTGAAGACTATCTTGCTGAAATAAGGCAGGCCGACAAGATTAGAGAAAAAAGAATGAAAAGAAATGAACACAACCTCCAATAACTATGGGACTGTATAAAAAGATTGAACCTATGACTGATTGGAGTACCTGAAAGAGACGGGGAGAATGGAACCAAGTTGGAAAACACACTTCAAGATATATACAGGAGAACTTCTTCAACCTAGCAAGACAGGCCAACATTCAAATTCAGGGCATCCAGAAAACCCCAATAAGATACTCCGTAAGAAGATCAACCACAAGACACAAATCATCAGATACTCCAAGGTCAAAATGAAAGAAAAAATATTAAGGGCAGCCAGGGAGAAAGGTCAGGTCTCTTACAAAGGTAAGCCCATCAGACTATCAATTTTGTATGATTACAATATGCCAGTGTAGATTTATTAATTGTAATAAATGTACTGCTGGTGAAGAATGTTGATGTTAGAGACTGCTATGGTTTGAATGTTTCTCCCAAAGTTCATGTGTTAGACAATTCCCAATGCAATAGTGTTGAGAGTGGGCCCTTTAAGAAGTAATTAGGTCATAATGTTTCTATAATGGGAGTGGGTTTACTATCACGAAATTGGATTTGTTAAAAAGCAAGTTGGGTGCCTCTTGCTCTCTCTTTTTCTTATACATGTGCTCTTTTGCCCTTCCAAATTTTGCCATGGGATGATGAGCAAAATGACCCTCATCAGGTGTGTCTCTCAATCTTGGACTTTCCAGCCTCCAGAGCCATGAACCAATAAATTTGTTTATTATAAATTACCTGGTCTCAGATATTCTGTAATAGCAGCACAAAACAGACAAAGACAAAGTTTATGTATGTGTGGCAACCAGGAGAAAATGAAGAATATGACCTTTCTCTCAATTTTGCTGTGATCCCAAAATGGCTCTAAAAACATGGTCTTTAAACAGAAAAAGAGCAAAAGAAAAAAAGGATATACTAGCAGCAGATCTTACAAGACTATGTAGATTTAAATAGCCATCAAATCAGTGGTGAATTTAAATTTCCCACCTCTAATATTAGTTTCCTGAACTTAATACAGCCAGAAACATAGAATTGAGCATCTGTCAGCAAAAAAAATAGAGAGGGCTCCAGGAGAAGCACTATAGGTATGGCCTGAGGGACAGAAAAGCAAACCCCTACCTCAAATAGAGTATGAAAATGTCACATTATTTTTTCTTTCTCTCTTGTCTGCATTCTCGTGTACCTCAAACCTCAGGTAATCTGATGATGGTAGTGGAAACTATAGCAACAAACAATAGCCAAAACCATGAGAAAGGTCAATCTTCTCCATTTAGTAGAGCTGTGGTTCCATGAGGGTGGGGACAAATCTTTTTCTTTTTTTTTTTTTTTTTTTTCATCTTCCTCACTGTCCTTCTGCCTCATGAGCTTAAAGATGCAGCTATGATTGCAGAAGTGTATGGTACATCAGAATAAAAGGAGCCCCACATTTCTAGCTGGAGGTTGGAAAGGAGAAGCCACTGGGATCCTGAAAGCACTGGTCAAATGGTGAAGAGGAAAGATCTTTAGAAAGAGACCTATGAACATTATTTATAAACTCCTGGGTTCACCTGCCCCTCAACCTATGCATGCCTAGATATGGTTCTAATTGGCATACTAAAGATGTTAAGACCTGAACTAATGAATAAAGCATTGCATAGTTCCCAAATTCACCCCTGGTTGGTGCACAGGAAAGACATATCTGAATAGTACTACACAGGTTTTCAAAATGGAACCGATATTGGAACCAGATCCCACAGATTGTCTTTATTCCATCAGGGTGATTGCTTGCTAAAACAACAGTGTCAATATACTCGAAAATTTAAATAAGATCCAGTCTAACTAAATGTTTATTCAAAATGCTCAAATTACAATCTGAAATTACACAGCATATGAAGAACCATGAAAATGTCAACTTGCATGGGGCAAGACAGCGCAAGCCAAGGAGGGTATGACAGAGACGTTGGAACTGACAAATGCTTCAAAGCAGTTGGTATAAAATGCTCAAAATACCCAATGAGTGAAGAAATAATTGATGTCATTTAACAACATTTAGAGTTCATCTGTTTCCCCCCAAGTTACTTTTTCTCTAAATTGATTACCTTTTAAGTAGAGAAGAAAAGAACTCCAATCTTTTAAGTCCTAAGTTATAAAAGCTTTATTTTCTCTGGCTATGACAATAGTCATTTTTTTCACTTACTAAATCATCATATAAATCTTCAAGTAAAGCTTTTTAATAAAAAATAATAAGCTTCATATATACATATTTATATAATGTGTATATGTATTTTTTCCAGTGCATCCAATGGAAGATAATTCCATTAGAATGCCCTACTGAGCTTTTACTTCAACCTTTGTTTACTTTTTTGATTTGTAAATGTCCTTTACATATTATTTTCTACCATTTTTCTCTTATGAGCTTCCATGATAGGTTTTCTACCTATAGAAAAATGACAGTATCTTGTATCTGAGTAACACTGTAGAGTTTGTGTCGGTTTTTTAGTGAAATTATTTTTATTTTCAGTCATAAACTTAACCTCATCTCATTGTCTTACATCTTTCTCTCCTTACTTGTTAGGACTAGGAATATAAATATATGCATATTTTACACAAATTATAAACCAATTTATGGACTCCCGCATTCCATCTCTTATCCTGGAAAACTTTTTATTAGTTCAGCCCCTTTCCTGTGTGAGCCCATCATACCACTAGCCTCCCATCCAGTCCCCACACTCACTCTGTAGAGCCCAGCTTCTTACCTGGGTTTGCCAGCAATTTAGATGGTGCAATGTCTTTCTCCACATTATTACTGTCATTCATTTTGCCTCCAGTTTCCAAGTGTGATCTCAACCACAGTCTTTACCTTCTCAACTCCAAGAATGATTCAAATAGAAAAAGCCCCAATGACTAAAATGTGTCAGTGTGTAACTGCCCCAGTAACTCAAAATGTCAAGCCTTTAAATTAAATAGCTAGAGGAAAAAAAAGAAGCACAAGTTCTGTCAAAACAAATTAGCTCATCACACACAAAAAAATGAGTGTTTGTAAGAATTTAAAAGAAAAAATATTAAAGCTACTTCTCTAATAGTATTTTGGTTTCAAGAGAAAATAATCCTTGATAACTTTAAATTACTTTATTATTAAAAACTATAATTTTACTATATGGGGCACAAAGTGATGTTATGATAGAAAATAAGATTTTATTGAAAGGAAAAGTTGGCTCTCAGAGGAAATGAATGTTAGGTAAGTAAAGACAACAGCGATTTTAATATCAAATTAAAATTCATTCCCAAGTGTTTACATTCATTTGAAAAATATCTTGCTTTCAAAAGAGCTACACACCTTGTCTTCCTCTAGTACCTGCTAGACTCAGGGTGCTTCAGAGTCTTTTTTATTATTGAAATATCACATACATATAGAAAAGTGTTATAAAAACATAGGAAATGGGAAATTAACTGAGTCCGGGAGTTAAGAAAATGCCCCTGTAGTAGAGTGATGATTAAGCTAAGATTGTGGTGCACAGATCCAACTCCCTCCCATAGTTGCCTTGCTTTCCCTCCCCACCCTCCTCACTCAGTAGTGGCTCCTTTCTCCAAAGATGTTTCAAAGAAAAAGCTTGGTCCTCAGCACTGCAAATCAGAGATTTGTGGCAGTCCAATATAGCCATAATCCCAATTAAGCAGAAATCTGCAAGATATTTTGGGAAGTGGCTGCTATGGCTGCTAAACAGTTTCTAAAATGGGCCTGAAGGGTATGCAGCTTCTGTGCTCCCTCTGGAATAATCCAGGAGTACAGAGGCCCTTTAGCAGCAGCAGCTTCTTGTCAGATGTGTTAATTTCTTGTATATAAATGCCTGTAAGGGCACTTTTTACTAAAATATAATTTATAGTACCCTGCACAAATCATAAGCTTTTATTAAAAATGTAATGTAGAATCCCAGCACTCTGGGAGGCTGAGGTGGGTGGATCATGAGGTCAGGAATTTGAGACCAGTCTGGCCAATACGGTGAAATCTTGTCTCTATTAAAAACACAAAAACTAGCCAGGCGTGGTGGCAAGCACCTGTAATCCCAGCTACATGGGAGGCTGGGACAGGAGAATCTGTTGAACCGGGGAGGTGAAGGTTGCAGTGAGCTAAGATGATGCCATTGCACTCCAGCCTGGGTGACAAGAGCAAAACTCCATGTCAAATAAATAAATAAATAAAATACACACACACACACACACACACACACACACACACACACACACAGCATGTAACAAGTGCCTAGATGGAGATATAAATAAAGCCATATAAAACAATACAGTCTATGTGCCCGGCTCATGTCCTGTAATGCTCATTACCCCAAATATAATTTCTATCTTAACTCTGACACCATACATTTCTTTTCCCTGTTTTTGAACTCTATACAACTGTCCCTGCTTACCCATGAGAAATAAGTTCCAGATTGGACAACTATTGCCTTAATCGAATAGAGACAAAGTTGAGTTAGGCCTGAATTTCCGTTTCCGTAAGATTCTATATATCTCTTTCTTTACTATTTCATTTCTAGTTTGTCCTAGCATGTATGATAAAGCCTTCTAGTAATTCCATCTGAGAACCTGACTTTTGTTTTTTTGTTTATTTGTTTTTAATTTATACAGATGAGGTTTCTCCATGTTGGTCAGGCTGGTCTTGAACTCCCGACCTCAGGTGATCCACCTGCCTTGGCCTCCCAAAGTGCTGGGATTACAGGCGTGAGCCACTGCACCCAGCCGAGAACCTGTTTTTTATTAAAGCTGCTTCTCTTTGTTGGAACCCGAATTTGATTTTGTCTCCTGAACAATGTGTGATTGCTAAAAGTTGAAGTCTGTTTTTCACATATTTCTTCCTAACCTCTTTTCCTGTGAAATTTAATAATTTGGAACATAGTTTGAGAGAAAAATTCTTCTGATTTCTTTGGCCCTATCTCCTCTTTGGGATTTTGGCCCTTTAAGTGCTTAGGAAAACATTTTTCTCTCTTCCCCCCAAAAAAATACCTGGTAACTAAAGCTCTCTGCTCAGAATCTCAGCGTCTGACCCACTGCCAAGATGCCCCTAAAAGAAGGGTGGCTCCTGGAATGCTGACTCGCTTCTCTGTGGCTCCTTCCCAGAATCTTTGTTCCCCTTCCAGTTGCCTTGAGTACCTTTAAGGTACTCTCCAGTGCCTTAAAGAAGTCCCTTTTCTAAGGCCGGGCGCGGTGGCTCAAGCCTGTAATCCCAGCACTTTGGGAGGCCGAGGCGGGTGGATCACAAGGTCAAGAGATCGAGACCATCCTGGTCAACATGGTGAAACCCCGTCTCTACTAAAAATACAAAAAATTAGCTGGGCATGGTGGCGCGTGCCTGTAATCCCAGCTACTCAGGAGGCTGAGGCAGGAGAATTGCCTGAACCCAGGAGGCGGAGGTTGCGGTGAGCCGAGATCGTGCCATTGCACTCCAGCCTGGGTAACAAGAGCGAAACTCCGTCTCAAAAAAAAGCAAGACAGAAAGAAAAGGTCCCTTTTCTTTAAGTCTAGCTCTTCTAGTTGTTCTCAGCATGAGTTTAATGTCTCTCCAGTTATATTATCATACACAGAAGTGGATATGAACTGTCAGGCTTATTGTTTTCACATCCTTTTATGATTTTATTTTTAGCTTAAAGGGGACAAAAAATAAGCCTTGATAAATTTCACATTATCTTGGAATTTCCACACTGATCTGGGACTTTCCGGTAAAACTAAAGATATTACTTTTACTATTACTATCCTGGCATAACTACATAGAACTGCAGCTTATTACTGCTTACTATGCTCCAGACACATTAATATGAGATTTAAATATGTGTTCTTATTTAATTGGCATAAGTAACTAATGAGGCTGACATTATTTTTATTTTTCAGAGGAGCTTTTTGGGTGAGGGACTAACTGACATTACTAAGTTCACAGTAAGGGATAGAACCCATGACTGAAAGATCTGATATAAAAATTACTTTAAAAATAAAGGTCAAATATCAAATGACATGGTATTTCTGTGTTAGTCACATCATTTATTCATATCAATCTCTTGGTTTTTACATTGCTGTAAGTTTCTCCTTCTGTGGAAACTAAACTGAAAGTAAGATCGTGGAGTCCTAAAGATGCACATAATCATTTACCCTTTGACAAATATCTTCAAATTCAGTAACTTTCAGCTAGCATGCCAGGTGGACTCTTAGTGTTCAGTAATGTCCCTTCCTTTAAGGAGCTTAATATAAAACTGAAAAATAAGTAGGTATGCATGACTTATTGTAACAAGCTGTGAAGGGCAGTAGAATAATTTATTAGGAGAGCAGCTAATGAGGGTGCTTAACCCAGAAGAAGTTTTCCCAAGAAAGTACCTACCAATCAAATTTACCATCTGAAAAATCAGCTAGAGTTAGCTAAATAAATGAGGCATTTAGGCCAGGCTTGTCAGCTCACACCTGTAATCCCAGCACTTTGGGAGGCCAAGGTGGATGGACCACCTTAGGTCAGGAGTTCAAGATCTGCCTGACCAACATGGTGAAAACCCATCTCTACTAAAAATACAAAAATTAGCTGAGCATGATGGCACGCACCTGCAGTTTCAGCTACTCAGGAGGCTGAGGCAGGAGAATTGCTTCAACCTTAGAGGCAAAGGTTGCGGTGAGCCAAGATCATACACTTTGGGCAGCAGAGCGAGACTGTCTTGAAAAATATAATAAATTTTTTTTAAAAATGGAGGCATTTGAGGTGAAGGAAGAAGTCTTCCAGTTGAAGGAAGTCTTCCAGTTTCTTCATTTAGGCCCAGAGAGAAGAGAATATATAGCAGAGTTGGGAAAACACATAAAATTTGAGATGGCTGGAGCACAAATTATGAAAGGAGAAATGTGACAAAATATCTCTCCAGTTATCACAAAAGCTTTATATTAAACTATGTGAATCTCATTACTTCTAAGCCATATCACTGTGCTTACTTTCTTACGCAACCCTGTGTTAAACAGCTGATACCATACAGAAGATACAGTGATGTGTATTTACATGATCCCTAGAGAGTTGCAGTGTGAGGAAAAGAAGTACACATATAGAGTAATCTTAATTTCATTTGGAAAATAAATTTGTTTCTTTTTTTCAAAATATAATTTTTTAGTTGAGTCTATATTAGGAGGCAGAAACTGATGACTAATTGACTGGATATAATAGGAAAGAAAAAAGCCCCTTCAAGTTACCTATTACTCCTCAACAGATGTGAATGTCTCAACTGAGTAGTATAAAAGCAATATATTATCAGATTTTGCTTTGTTGGAACAGCTACTGATGAAAAGTTACAAGAAAGAACAAAAGCTTATAAAATTATTTATTCTCAGTGACCTGTATCCCACTTTTCTTGGATTTTTCAGCATGATGGATGGTAAC